ACACACACACACATACAATGTAGCCAGGACCTATCTACTCCACACATAACAGAAACACAAAAAGTTATCCCCCCCCCACCATAAACAGTCCACACACACACCCAGCCACTACTTACCCTGTACACACACACACACACCTACACCCACACACCTGCCTACGCACTCACACACACACCCACACCCAGCTGTTACTTACTCTGACCATCGACAGATTTTCCTCCCGACACGCCAGTTTGAGACTCTCTCGGAGCAGACGACCGGCCCGGTCACACTGTCTTATGGCGGCCCGCAAGTTCTTCACTTCTGGTTGGACGATGACATTCTTGCGAGCTTTGTAGGCCAGGTAGACAGCCCTTGGCAGAGGGTCGCTGAAAAGTACAAATATACAGAGGATCACTGAAAAGTCAATCCATACAGTGGATCGCTACAAATGAAATCAATACAGAGATTCACCTACACAGTAAATCAATACAGAGATTCACCTACACAGTAAATCAATACAGAGATTCACTGCAAAGTAAATCAATCGGCTCTGGTAATGTTTCACCCCCACACAACCCAGAATCCACACTAGACGAAGAAGAAACCTACGTCCACTACACCTCTGACCTAATTATACAACAGTTTTTGTAGAAAGACAACTCAATGTTGTATCGGCAGAATTCAAACTGAGCCGACAAACAAGTCGAGCACATTCTCCACCTCTGCGTTCTCATCTGGACACTGCCATGTAGTCAAAAGCTCAGCATTCGCAAACACAGAAAACAACCAACCACTCAATGGGGAAAAACTACGGCAGAGACAACAGGGTTTTTTCAAAGGCACTTTTCTTTTCTTTTCAAATAGAATCTTAATGAGAAGTATACCTGCATGTGTTTTTACGATTCTGTACAGTCTAGAAAAATTTCCCTCTGGGACAATAATGATCTTATCTTATCTTATCTTAACCTATCCAGATGCATAAAGTTCAGTGACTGGGTCACACCCAAGTTGACTTTGACAGACCAATGATCATGCAGCTAACTAGCTATCAGTGCAGGCAGGGGGTCTGCACCACCACGGCCCGTTCATTCACTGAACTTACTCTGAGCCGTGGAGTTTCTTCGGGAACACGTCGAGGACGGAGTAGTTCCTGGAGGCATTCTCGTCATCGCCACACAGCCAGTAGTGTGCCACAGACACCACACTGGCCCACCACATGGCCACGCTGTCGATATCTGCGGGGGAAAAACACCACTGTCAAACATTTTGATCACAACGCCAACATATATTTGCAGAAAACGCCATCATCAAACATTGATCACAACACCTAAATATGCAGTATAACACGGATAGTTCGAATTCGTCGCCATCCTCATCGATTGGGGGGGGGGTCATAAGAATTTTACAGCACTTGCAACACAATAAGGTCATATAAGAGCCGAAAAATAAAGGTGTTACACGAAAGTAACAAACACACAAAAAGAGGAGAGATAAAGACGAGAGGAGGAACAAACCACACCAGAGCACCCGCCAACAACTCATTCCATGTCAACTACTTTAGTCAGTGTTAGTAAGGTTTTATGGCATTCGCAATTGCATAAGGACAACTACTTTGAGTTGTGAAATGAGCTATGATGCCATTTCACTTCCAACATGAGGCAATGATGGTAGTACAAAGAAAATAAAAGCGTGTAGCCGTGTCCACAACTTACCTCCGACTTTGGTGATGCCGGAGAGATCCGAGTGGATGTAGGAGGTCCCGTCGCTGAGACACGAGCACTCGGACAGCAGCTGGGCAAACTGTAGAGCCTGGCCCTGTTTGTGCTGGCTGGGGCCTTGTGGGGAGACCAGGGAGAAGAGAGCCTGCTCCAGCAGGTGTTCCCGGAACGCCTGGGTAACTCGCGCCAGGGGGTCCACTGGGTGGGGGGAAGAAATAGAATGACACACACACGGTTAGTCAGATTCCAGAAAAAAAATATACACATGCATAGATGCCCACTTTTCAACACACCCATAAGGCTTGTCATGTCCCATGGGAAAATATACACATAGATGCCCACTTTTCAGCACACAGATAAGGCTTGTCATGTTCCAGAGAAAAATATACACAAAGATGCCCACTTTTCGAAATAAAAATTATTTTTTTTTAAAGCAAACAACAAAAAAATCCCAGACTCTACCCACAAGGCAGGTCAAGATGGGAGGCACTGGCCAAGTAAATACCCCCACCCTCTCCCCCACCCCCACTTCAAACACACACTTTTCTGAAAGATTTTCATCAAGCTATTCAAAGTAATCTTGCGACAAAAGATCTCTCCAACCGACCTATGGGCTTTCTTCTCATTACGATTCCCACATCCCGTTTTGTAAGTTCATTTAAATTTCCCTACAAACTCCTGTGCCGTACGCACGTAGCTCAGACGACCTACTCAAGTAACCGTAAAGCTTATGTACACGAGACCCAATGAGACATCCCTCCAAAGTCCTAGCCCAAGACTAGACGGGAGCAACTTTTTTTTTGCTTACCTTCAATGCCGCAAGATGAGAAGATGGAGTTCTCTGTCCCGTCAAACTTGACGCTGTCCACGAAGAAGCGGTGACCTTCTGGGTGGCACAACCACTGAATGTTGGCGGGTACCTGGTCCCCGCTCTTTTTGCAGATGTGCCGGGCACGACTCAAGAAGTAGCGCTAAAAGATAGAAACATACAAAGTCTTATCCGTGAGAAGAGAAGGGCTTGAGAGGGGGGGGCTCTACACAACAGCATCACACGACAAACGCTCAGAAAAGAGATTCCGTTTGGCAACGGTTCAATGGGCAAGCACATGCACGAAAAACACACACACCAAAACCTTTCAAAACCAAAATTCAGACTCTATCCACCCCGTGGGTCAAGAAGGTGGACACAGGCCAAGTAACCTCCCTCCAAACCCTTCACACACACACTACTTTTCTACCTTCAAAGATGTTCAAGCTATTCAAAGTAGACCTGCGAAAAAAAGAGACTCTCAAATTGACTTGAAAGCTTTGTTCTCATTATTACCTGCACTAGAATACAGTCTACATATCGCCTTATACAAAAACGGACTTCAATACTCAGACACTCAAAAACGTACGGAACAGGTTGGGTTGTTTTATTTACCTACTGGTTGGCAGCTATGCAATTATGTTCAAATTTATTCCAAGAGCGGGCCGCCTTAACACGAACCAAGCAGACAGGCCTGTGCTTACCGAGACAAACTGGAACCCCTCTGGGAGAGACGCTTTGATCTGAAGAGCTCCCGTTGCGTAAATCTTGGCTAGATCAAATCTGGGCAGAGCATCCTTGGCCGTCTCCCCAATGTTGACAGCGCTCAGAGCCAGATTGAGTCCCCACAGTCGAGAGCCTGCCACGTGGCCTGAAAAAGGAAAAGAGAAATTTCACCTTTTGCTCCGTCACTGGGAACCTGAAGAATGCTCAAGACACTCCACAGTAATTCAGGGATGCCACTCAACTTTTTTAAAATAGCTGAAAATCCACATGCCACGGTCTTGCTAACACATGAATATCAATTTGAAACCCAAAGGGTGCACATAGAGAGAAATGACAAACAAACAAAAGCAACGGGTGTCTTCGTTTTTCCGTTATTTGAACATTTGGTGCAAGTTGTCGTGTGTATGTGGGTTTTTTTCTTTTCCCAACTATAGATTCTATTTCGATCTCAATAAGGGAATAGGGGATCAGGATCCAAATACCGGAAATACCGGAAAAAAGCGGGAAAAGTGGCATCCCCGGTCATTTCATAGAGGTTGATGGCAAATCAGCTGTATCTCCCAAACCAGTGATTAAACGTATAAAACCATGCACTGGGAAGTCTTTGAACACCTTTTATCTTCAACTGACAAAACAGTGCAATAAAACTGAGAATTTGGTGACGGTATGGAAATCAACCCTATCTCACCACATATAAGACCAGGTCCCTTCAAGATTTCAAGTAAATGACCGGCCACTAACATATCTGACCACACGTACAAGACCAGGTCCCTTCAAGATTACAAGAGAACGACTGGCCACTAACATATCTGACCACACGTAAAAGACTAGGCCCCGACTACACTACGAGTGAACGACTGGCAACTAACTAAACTAGAACATATCTTACCACACAGATGACCATGTCCCTCACACATACACGACCAAGTCCCTACAACATGACAAGTAAATGACTGGCCACTCACATATCTGACCACACGTACAAGACCAGGCCCCTACAACATTACACGTAAATGACTTGCCATAAACTAAACCAGAACATGTCTTACCACACAGATGAAGCTGATTCAAGGTGTGAAAAACGTTGGCTGCGTCCCTGGCAGATTCTTTGACATCAGCGCTGTTCCTCCCTACTAGCCTGCCAGCCCGAGATGCCAGCCACCTTCCCAGGTAGAGGCGGTTAAGGCACTGTCGAAAGATTTGCCAGCCCACACCGGAGATGAGGTCCACTTTGGAGGTGGGGAGGGGTCGGCCCAGGGCCAGGAGACATTGCTGGAGCTGGTGGTTGGCAGACGAGTAGTCCGCCTGTCGGGACAACACACAGGGGAGAGGTTAGGTTTTTTTTTAGTTTTTAGTTTTAGTAAGTGTTTTACGGCACTTGCAATACAATAAGGTCATATAAGTGCCGAAGAATAGAGGTGTTACAAGACAGTAACATACACAAAATAAGAGACAAGGACGACAGATGGTTGATAGGAAAGAAGGAGCAAACCACACCAGAGCACCCGCCAACCACCCACTTCAACTATTTCATACAGGACAACACACAGGGGAGAGAAACACACTATAGCCACATCACTGGAGGAAACATTCCACTATTTCACACAGCTTTCAGCTCTTATGGAACAAGGCACTTTAGTACACATCTTCATGCAACAAACATTCAGTTTTTCAAACAGCTTTCACCTCACTCAAATATCTCTGCGCTTCAGTACCACCCACGATGTTGGCAGAAACAAATCCTATCCCAGGACAAAGAAGCCTCCCCCCAAATATAGACACATTCTCACTGAATCTGCTACTCATGACAAACTATTTACCTCTTACAGTCAAGCTTCACAAGAGATAATCTGACAGACAGAACCACAAACATTCAGCAAACTGGTTCATTGAACTAGATCTCTTCCTTACCCTTGACAGGTACGACTCCGCCTGCTTCTGGTGCCGCCAAAATGCTACTGAAGCATCGCTGTTCTTCTTCGTCACAGGTTCACCAAAGATCAAAAGCTTTGCCAGCACAAAGCTGACAAATATCCCATTGACAAGCCACATCACCACAGACGGGTACATCCGATCGTACCAACTTTGATTTGCATCTAAAACAAAAACAACAAAAATTGAAATCCACTCACATTGACTGTCAACTGTACGTCTCTTTGACAACACAAAAATTGGACATAAGGGACAGGAAAGAAGTATGGCTTATCGGGGCCCTTCCACTACCTAAAAATTAAACGCAACATGTCCGTCAAGAAAGCAACTTTCAGAAAAGACAAGAGCATTTTAAAAAATGTAATATCATCAAAAGAAACTTGAGATATGACGTATACATAAGTAGTAACCTGACCATCTTGCCACTCAACAAAAATCAGACCCTTCCCAGTTGACAAACGGCTGTATTACAAAGATTACCTGTCTCTTCCAATACCTGCAAGAAGTGACACAGCAAGGCATCATCCATGCCACATGAACATTTATGGCACAGTCTTTTCACAAGTGTTTATTCCTTGATCCCCCCCCGAAGTTACTGACAATACAAAAACACGACAAAACACAATGCTTAAAGCATTCTCTAAACAAAATAAAACAAAGACGATCAACATCACCCCCCCAAGCACACACAGAGGTCTCAACGGCTTTCAATGAATTTTTTTCCCTCTTCATTAAAAAAATTAAATTAAAAAATTAAAACTCACCCATCCCCGAAACTGTTACTATCAGCTCATCAACAATTAAAAGCGCAAATGACAATGTAAAGATACGAAGAAAAATGAGTATGAACCTTCAGCACTGGAGAGAAGTGTTCTTGAGTGATAACCATCCGAGCCTGATCCTGGTCCCATGGAGGGACCGAAGAAGTAGTTGAATGGATTGAAAGCCAGAACACAGAACATGAACATGCAGAGGAAGATGCGAGACCGATCCAGCATTCCAGAATTCGTCAAGCTGTAGGTAGCTTCTTCACCTAAAAGACAAAAAAAAAAGGAATTTGGTCATGAACACACTTTCAACAACAGTCAACGAAATAGTCAATTCGCCATGGAAATGCTTTCAAAGACAATTCTAAAATCAAACAAACAAAATATCCACTTGACATTCACGCCATGTATTTCATTGTGGTTCTGTTTAAGTCATACATTCACGGTTTATTAGTCAAATAATAATGAAACCACATCATTTTCTCTATTTACAACATAACGTCAGGAAAATTTTCAGCCATCATAAAGATTTAACATTGTAAAACTATTTTGCTTTCAACAAAACAACTCAATTCAATCCTTACAACTGTCTGGGATTTCTGAGAGTCAACAAGACAGTGGCCAAACTGGATTACACCAAAGCTCATCTATCAATAGCAATGCCAATCCCTCCTCTGTTGGCCCAGAGATCGGGCTGTGCCAAAGCATAACTTTTGGGCCTTTCGGGATCAGAGGTAGCCCTTTTCTAATTAAAGTAATGGGATTACCAGTGAACTAGAATCAATTTTACAACCAAAAGCATTCATAACTTTTAAAATTTATCAATAGATTTTAAAAACCCTAAAAACCACAATGCTGAGATTATGCAGTTCTTTCCTTTCAGCTTGTTTTACAGAAGTTTCAAGAAAAATCTAATTTTTCCTCCACATTGCTACTAAAATGTTTTGTGAGACATTTTGTGTCCCCATCATATCCTCTACTGGACTTATGTCCGGGTTTTTCTGGAACATCTCCGTCAGTGAACAAACTACTCACCCAGCAGTTCGTCTGAGCCCGGTGTGCCAGGGTTGGAACAGTCACTGTCCGAGCGAGGACTGTTCATGGGTGAAGAACTGTCCGAGTGGGGCGGAGTCATCGCTTCACTCTCCACCTTGACCTCACCAATGACGGCTGAGAAGTCATACAAGTCTGAAACAAACATCACATTCATTACCACAATGAAAAGGAGAAACAACTCTCACCTTTTTTGTATTTGATTGGATAGGCCTACTTCGTGGGATCAGCATTGTGCACTCGTAGATTTCACATAGTCCACTTAATCTATTGTTCACACTGCATTGAACTTCAGTGAATTTCTCACTACTCTTAAGAAAGCTGGCTAGACAAAAATGAGCTGTTCTTTCAAACCAGAAAATCAATGGTGAGTACTAAATAAAATAAGCAAAGGAAAAGATTTTGTTATTTCCCTTCCTTTTGTGAACTACAGATGAGGAGACTCGATGAGGTCAACAACAAAAAAGTAATTTCCTTTCACAAACACACAAGGAGTGCAGTTGAATCTAAAGGTCTCTGACTCTGGATAAGGAAACCCACTTACTTTGTTTCTTCATGGCCAGTTTCAGCTGCAGGTTTTCTTGCTTCAGACGTTTATTGTCTCTCTGCAGGTACCTGATCATGTCAATCGCCTTCCGCAGGATAGCCGACTTGTTCAACTGGAAAAAATATGGTCACTTTATTGAGATGTATGCCATTGAAAAATTAATAAGTAAGACATCTTCCAAGACACAGAAAATATCCTTACACGCATACTTCCTTTCAGTTGAGAACAAATTATTAAGTGACCATGTGAACCAGAGACAAAGATATGTTCTCATTCACGACTGCAAACATTCTCTCAGTACTCCTCCATGACCCACTCTGCACAAGCATTCAACATTGATCAATCATACCGACAAATAGCTAGAGCTTCAGATGAGCAGCCATATTTCAGCACAGAACAAGACCAGCTGTCACCTGGTCCGGCCCCCATATACCTCTCCTGTTTCATTGGCAACAGTGACATTGTCAAACAGAAAAATTTCATACGATAGACATGGAGGCTACAACAAACCTTGGCTTCCACTCCGGCGACCAAATCTTTCAGCTCAACAATCTTGTCGTTGATGCTCAGTCTGTAGCGTTTCTCTATCGCATTGTGGGCCGTCCTTTTTTCTCCTTTGCATTTCATCTTTGGTGCACTGGTTAAACGGTTAATAGGCATCTTGTCACCATCAACTACCTGCAATATCAACAACATAACAAAACAATCAGATTCGGACATTCCAAAGAGAAGAACATTTTTTTACCGCTTGAAACTGCACTTCCAATAAACTTTCCCATTGTTATTACCACTGCTACCATTACAACCATTCATTACAATATACAAGATAGAAATCACATTTAATCAAATCTTTCTATACTTCAGACAGTATCCAAATTTTAGCAAACTAATTCCTTAACACCTAAGAGAACAGTTAGTTGTCAGCATGGTTTCTCTTAAAGAACTCTGCCAAATACAGTATATTCATCAACCTTGCTCAAAGACACAAACCACCCCTCTACAAAAACTTGATTCCCAACTACCAAAGAAAACATAATCAGTAAAATGCTACATCATTCTGTGAAAACATTTCTCAATCAATGACAGACGAAAATTCATTCTCTCGACTCCCTACAATTATTTCTGAACAAAATAATACTAGAGGAATAAAAAAACAAACCTCTATAAAAACTTAGAACATTATGATTTAGGGCAGGACCAGCTCAACTTATAATGATAGACTGTTTGGAGTGAGCAGCCAGCTGGGCCGCGCTCACTCTCATGAAGAACCCACCTGCACGGGAATGCTGGTGGTGAGAATGGTACTCCCACAGTTTGTGACTAAGGTCTGGAGAGGGGTGCTGCTCACAGTGCTCGGAGGTGCGGGGGTGGAATTCAGTGAGATCACATTGGAATTGGTGCTTTGCTGATCAGTGCCTTGGGACACCGTGACAACTTGCTGCCGTAACAGCTTTACACAAAGGAGAAATAAAAAAGGGGAATCAGGCAGAGCAAAAAAATTAGCAATGAATCCACAAAACATTACGCCAAGGCAAAAAAAAACATTCAAATTTTATGAAAGAAAATAGTAGAGAGAAAATTGTGCTTTAGAAGTTCGGTAAAAAGTTCAAATGTTGTTGTTTTTCTCCGGTATAAGTCAAGCATACTGTGTTAATTCCGTGAGTAAAGAGCAGAGTGCCACTTACTAAATAGCTGGACTGACTCAAGATGATGTTGACAAAGAAATCAAATTTTAATCATTAAGATTAGAATTTATCATTAAGATAAGAATCTTATAAAGTGCATTAACAAATTAATCTGCCGCCCAAATTTGCAACATGCCTGATGTGGAGAGAGAGAGCTCATCTAGTAGAATATCAACATAAAAGCAAATTTGAAATCAAAAGAAAAACAAGGTGAGGGTGGCGGTGGAGGGGGGGGGGGGGGAGTGTCAGGATGGGGAGAAGTGTGTTAACCCTATCCGTACGCCGTGTTTTACTATCGTATCCATACGACGGGTGGGAACTCAGTGCCACCACTTTCCAAAGAGGAAATTTACTCGTTAATCCGATCCTTACACTTTGCATACCAGTCTGTCAAAATGATTTTTTGAGAAATGCTGAAAGTATCGAAGAGATCTTCGCATTAGATGCATTCTAAAATATGAAGAATACAATCCCGGGGGTACAAAACGACCCCAGGGGGTACGGATAGGGTTAACGGTGCTTCGAGATCACCACAAAGAGTTGCTGACCTGCTGGAGCTGCTGGACGCTGAGTTGACCCACGCTCTGCACGGAGGCCGAGGAGGTGCTCGTCTGTGGAGACGGTCGGGCCTGCTGCAGGACGGACTGGACCAGCTGTACCTGTGGGGCCACTGACTGGCCCTGCGAGCCCTGGGCCTGAGCAGCAACAGTGGCTGCGGCTGAACTCACCAGGGGCTGCTGGAGAATGAGCTTGAGCTGCTGCTGGGATGACGACGCTACTACTTTTGGTTGCACAGAGCTGCTCGTTTGATGCTGTAGGCAAGAGTTTGTGTTGTTAGTTTTTAAAAATTAAAATCTAACTTCACAAAAACACTAGTTACAAGCAAGGTTAGCACCCTGCGTACCCTCGCTACAACGTTTGTTCCCTTGAAACAACCCTCACTGTTTACAAACAAATGACACATTTAGCCTTTCTTGGGGGAAAATGGCACTGCCAAGGAAAAAGACAGGAACATACTGAGTAAGTTATACTTTGTGGGCTACTTTTTACAATTAGAATGTAATTCAAGAAATGACCCTCAGATTTAAGCCAACAACAACAGGTGGACAGTACAAAACAATATGGTGGGAAACCCTCAATAACATAACTACTGAGGAGAGAAAGTTACAATAATAAATCAAAAGTGGATGGTGAGGCGAGACGCCTTCTTCATACGTCAACAGCACTTTAGCGCATTCTTTTGTGTTTACAGCTTTACCTCTATGGTAAAATAATACTGATATAATGGAGACTAGTTCACAACTCACCTGAGCTACAGACTGCTGAGAGGCAATAAGCTGTCTTAGTTGCTGCTGCTGAGCTTGCTGCTGTTGCTGTTGCTGGGCTTGCTGCTGCTGAACTGTAGCCAGACGAGACGACGCCTAAAAAAAAAAGTCGACAAAATATTATCAAAAAGAAAAATGAATTGCTGGGACTCTCAGAATGAAAGGCACTACAACAGCATGTATTCTAGCATGCGAAACAATGATGGATATATAGATTAGACCATTTAGCATGAAACTGCTCGATCACAAAATTACCGTTACCCAGAAAGGATTTCAAATCTCAGGATTTGCTTATCTTTATTCTCTTCATTACAACCTTTGTTACCCTTTTCTGTCACTTATGACTAGCATACAAAACATTAAAAAGAAATATGTGTCTGAAATAATTCAATAAACAGTCTTCACCATGAAAGATAATTTTGTAAAGGTAAAAACCAATACAAGTCCTGTAACTTTTTCGAGTGCCCCTGTATAGATAATCTAGTTGAACATGTCCACGGCAACCAATCATTGTCAAGGAAAAAAGTTGTTGTCTTAAACAGGCATTCATCTTAGACAAAAGATCTCCCAGGACAATCCTGGACATTGTCATTCATTATAAATAGAACTATTTTTGACAGGTTATCGTTGGAGCAAGTTCCAACTGTAAAAAACATGCTATATTAGCCTGTTTCTTTATAAAGACTAGATTTTACCTCAGCAATTTTCTTAGCTCTGGCAGCATCATTGAGCTCAAGCAATGTCTTCAGGGCAGCTGTCTGATAAAGCTGGTTGCCTTGCAATATGCTTACTCCACTGGTACCAGCTCGGTCTTCTTGAACCTGGGGCTTTACATCCTGCTGAAGCACCTGGGGCTTCAAATCTTGCTGAAGCAGGCTTGTCAAATCAGCTGATCTCACAGGGACCTCTACATGGCAGAGAGATGAGCCAAGATCTACTTCTTGCTTGACAACCACGGCAGTGTCCGAAACTTCCATGGTGTTTTCCACCGGGAGGGACTGGTCCAGATTTAATGCAGAACCAGTTAAATCTGACTCCACAAAACTTGCATCTAGCCCCAGCTGGTCCAAGCCAAGACTTGACTCCAGTCCCAAAGATGGATCCAAAGCCAAGTCAAAGTTGGAATTGCTGAAGGGATCATTATCTGGTGTCCCATTGATGAAATCGATGATATTATCCAAGTCTGTGAAAATAGAGATAAATATATCTTATGTTAATAAACATAGCAGGCATTACAACAAGTACCAAACCTAATCATCAAAGAAAAATGCGGAAGCTGTTGTATCAAAAGGCATAAAAGGTACGCCTAACCTTTGCTCTCCCCAATCGCAACACCAATGAACAGAAAACTAATGTATAATGACTAATGTTGGCTAGGCATATTACAATCAAGACTTCCAAAGCATCCATAAATGATTGACTAATAGGTCTAGTAGACTTCTATTATGACTACCTTTAGAGTATGCTAACACACAAGAAATCCTGCTCCTAAAAATGCCAGATACCACTGCATTGAATTAATGACCCATTGTCATCATTGACATTTTGAGTTCGAGTTGTGCTGCGCATTTTCAGGCTACTTGGGGAGACGGACAAGCCACTGTACCAAGCTTTTTATGTCTTTTCCAGTTTATTTTAAGGTAAACTGGTTACTAAAATAATTGTTTTGATTTAACTCAAGATCGCTTTCTTTATTCACACCAAGAATCTAGATCTATCTAGGCCTAGACAACCGTCACTTGACTGGCATGGGATGAATGAGTTGTCTGCTGCCAGAAGTGTCTCCTCCTACTCAGGCTACTGCTAGCGAAAGAGTAACGACATGACAGGCGACAAGAAACGTACAAGTAGCAGTCTTTTTTCGGTTTTGAATAAATTAAAAAGAATAACATGATCCTACCTCCAAGTCCGTTATATGTCTGGAGATTATCAAACTGATTTCCAGATAGTAAGTCAGTGTCCATTATAGAAATTCCATCGGAACCGACCGACCAACAGTTCTGTTGGTCTGCCATTTTCGCTTCTGAAGGTAACACCACAAATATTAGCCAATCATCATCGAGCTCAGCGTGGTCTGATTTTTCGTCATTCGGTCGTCTCTCATAAAACGGTATGGAAAGCTGCACGTATTCCGAATCTAGGATATTCTTAGAAAGTGTGCTGAAAAGTTCACACTCCAAATTTAGGAACATAAAACGAACACAACCTTATGATATAGTTTTTCTCATAATATTTCATCATATCTAATAGACTGCAACACTTTAAAATTAAAATAACAGCAGTTGGATGGGTTTTCTTTGTTGTACGAAACGAGACCGACTTAATAAACAATGATTTCGTTATGGCGTAGTTCTTATATTGTGTCAACAAGGGTATTGCGTGAGGCATATGGGTTGGCCAAGGCAAGGCCTACTTTCGAAATCGCGAAAGGTAAAGGTCAAAACAACACACTACTACGATCACTAGTACTAGGCCAATGTATTCACTTGTGGACGCCTCATATGTTCATGATTCTATATTTACCGACTGCCGTTGCTTGACTCACTCGTGCATTTCTATCGCCTTCCGGGTTCCTTTGCACGTCACCTTTCTTTTTCAAAGATAGGCTAGTCACTAGATGCGCGCATATGGACCATTTCAATTTCAATTTCACTGATGTAGCCTAGTTAGCGGTTTTAAGTCTACTTATAGCCTACTATAGATCTACATACTTATAATTATAATGTTCGAGAATAAACGAATTAATCTGTCACGCGTGAACTCGAGAACTACTTATATATGCACGCCGTCTCAAAACAAAACAATAATAAACAAAAATCAACAACAAAACACACATAACAGATTATTGAAAGACTTGCACGCATTTATACTTGTTTATACTTGACACATCTTCGAGGGCAAATAGATCTAGATCTAGTCGCCAATGCATTACAATTAATTGGGTACACAAACTGACGATATAAAATATTGGAAGAAAACCACTTTATTAAGATTATTATCCAGTTCTACGACGTTGATTAGTTCCCGTGACGTTGCTCCTACATTGACGTTTGATAACAATTTTTTAAAACGATTCTAGCGTTAAAGATAGGGCCTATTTTAAACCTCATTTTCATTTTATTTTGTTTTGACAGGGTGACGGGATTTTTTTTCCTGAAAAGATATTCTAGAATACATTTGTATTTTGATGGGTAATATTTCTAGACCTTTCAAACCAGAATCACCAATATTTAAGGCAGCCAGTATCAAACAAGCGGAGCAGAGTCCATTTACATGATTGTGTATTGCTAAAAAGAAAACATGACATAGGCTACCCTGAAAATTTAGATCTTTATGGTAAGTTATAGATCTATACAGACGACTGTAAAAAGAAAACTGTAGATACATAATTGCTAAGGATTGGGGTGGGGGGGGGGAGGGGGTGTATAACCAATGCAAGTACACAAAAATAAGCACTGGGAATTTTTTTTATGTTTCCGCAAGGGCCTTTATAATTTTTTTAAAAATTATTAGCACTGATAGTTCTTGCCGTCTGAAGCTTGGCATCTGTTGTGCTCAAAAACTTGTAGATCTAGTTTCAGGAACTTGTAGGGCGATAGGCCGATAATTTGTCTGCCCATGCCAGTGGCTTAATTTTTTTTAAACGTAATAGAAGAAGACTACAAAGTGACAGCATAATAATAATAAAATGAAATGCACGGTTTGATAGACCAGGAGTTCCCTTCCCCAAAGATCGATAGATTTAGGCCTATATACTAATAATTTTCAAATTTTCGTTGCATCTAGATTGACAAATTACTTCTATTTCATTCTTGTAACTTAAGTCACATTACAACTACTACTGTAGGCCTACTTAATGTTACCGCCGCTTTCTGTTTCTATTTTCTTGTAATGTATGTAGAGAGTTTCAATCAATATCATTATCAATGGTCACAAATTCAATTATTTTCTGCGCGTCTTATGACTGCGCTTTCGAACGAAAGAAATGAAAGACGAATTTAAGGAAGTTACCGGAACTAGTTCTAGTTTTATGATTAATGATTTTATGAAAGAAGAGTGCTAAGGGAAGAGTCCATCATCTAAAGTTCAATTTCAATGCTGAGACTGAGAGACTAGGCTATTGTCTACAAACGACGGTGAATGAATTTTGCGAGGATTGTTTAATTAAGTGAGAAGGGAAAGCAGGAGTTAAAACTCAGTAGCCTAACAGTTTCATTTCTTCTCAGTAAAGTATATCTCTCTGTGTAAATTGGACATGCGACTACACGCAAGAAAAGAAGTAGAAGAAGGAGAATTGAGGAGGATGTGTAGATGGAGGAGTGGAAATGAAGAAGAATGAGGATTAGATGAAGAAGAAGAAGGAGGAGGGAGGAGAAGAAGAAGAAGAAGCAGGGGGGGGGGGCGAGAAAGAGGAATTAGAGGAAGAAAGTGGCTATTCTCATCTGCCCGGAAGTTCTCGCAAGATCAACTCCTCCCCTCTTCTCTCTCTCTCTGTCTCTTTCTGAATACTGTCTATCGGTGTGGACGATCAAATTGACCAAAACAAAGTTAAAAATGATGTTAAAGCACAAAAGTAAATTAATTTGGTTGTCTACAAATTACAAAGAGATGCTACGGCTATTTAACTTTTCGAATCGAGCCGAACTACGTGGGTAGCCATTTTTTTTTGCCCGGAAATTCTCGCGCTACTCCTCTCTCTCTTTCTCTCTCTCTCTCCACTGCCCACAGACAAAATTGTACGCTTTTAGTAGGCTACAGTTGTAATGGAACATTTGTTCACGGCACAGAATTCTACAATTTTTCTGTTATCACAGTGTAGAATTCTGTGGTTTAGGGTGAACGCAAAATTTGGTGAACGGGCACCGGGTGAGAATAGCCACAAGACTCGCCTGCACTATTCTCACTCCGGGTGAGAATAGAGGTGGCCTTAGAGGAAAGTGATCATGAGGAGGAGAACAAGGAGAAAATAAAGAAATAGGAGAAGAAGAAAAAGAATCTAGTTGTAATACGTGTTATAAATAAAATTGGGGACTTTTTCGTTTTGTTACCCTACCTTGGGAAAGAGAGACAGGGGGGGTGGTGAGAGTGACAAGGAGGTCATCGAGAGCGCCAAGAGTAGCCTACCGTAGGCCTCTTAATGTATTCATGGGCCTCAGGTTCAGCCTATTGTAGTCTGGTTTACGCCCAGCGTGTAGTCGCATGTGTAAGTAAATTGGGTGTTTCAGTACAACTTAAGAATCTGGGTCCCGTCTGTTTAGGCTTGGCATCATCCACACAGAGTAGGGATATCGATACTGATTTGAATATAGGTAGCGATGTTTTATCAGCAGTTCTAGCCTACAAAATGAGCAGTAAAATTTAACTTGTTTTTAACAAGGTAGCATCAATTGTGACCGGATCATCCTGTCGGAACTGACACTGCGTCAATTGTGACCGGATCATCCACAATTCAGGCAGAACTACAATTAGTTGTAGAAACGATGGCTACTAGATAAATAGATCTAGATCTTGTACTGGCGTTTCAAATAGCATGGGAGCTATTCAGAATGCGGCGTTGCAAATAGCGCCTGCCGAATATATTCGGACTCGAGTCCAAATATAGAGCTGGCCAAAGTCAGCGAATTCATGATTTTCCCCAGTTTTTAATCTCTCTCAATGAAGAATCTGAGACCGGTAACCTAAATCTATTTCTTAACAGTTTGTCAGGGGGGAGACCCCCCTGAAACCCCCCCTCCCCTAATCCCTTCCTCTGCCCCCCCATTCTCGCGCTTTAATACGAGTGGTCCTGTATTCTTCAATCTTCCCAAGTCAACTGGCGAGGGAAGCCCCGGAAGACGACAAAAATAGATGGCGGAAATACATGATCTTCTATATTTGGGCCAAAATGTGAAAACCGACTTTACACGAAAGAAGAGCTGCGTACGTCTCCGGCTATCTCTGGTCACAATTGACGCAGTGTCAGTTCCGACTGGATGATCCGGTCACTATTGACACTACCTTTTAACAAGGCAAGGGGGATATATATAAATATATAACAAAAACATAGAGGGGGGGGGGGCATGCCCCCCTGAATTTGACCATAATTTGATGTTTTGCAATTAGGTTTAATAGGCTATCTCTCCATAGGCTATCGGCACGCGCATAAAAAAATAATCGTTTAGAACCAGAAGTAATCGTCGATGGGGTCAAAACTAGTATCCTCTGATCCTCAAACCGGACCCAGATTCTTAAATTGTACCGGTGTTTCTATCCTATCATGATGATGATTTATAGATAGATATCTAGAATATTAATAGTGATGAATAGGGTAAATTTTTACTTATATAAATAATGCACCCACACACTGATGTATTGATTTGAGGGCTAAACTGCCATAATTTTTGCTGTAGAACATATTTATGTGAAGCATGCTGACAAAAAGAGTTACTTCTCGGATTCAGGCCTTAAGGAAATAGATACATCACACTTATAGGTGAAGTTTTTACAATTTATAGGTATGAAATATAAGGACACTCCTTAAAGAATATGGCATCTATAGAAAATTTACAAATTTGACCCTATAGTGTCAATTTTTGGTCAATATCTCCATTTGTGGACTGCGAGAAGTAACTCATTTTGTCAGCACGCCTCACATATGGCCACTAAAACCCTTGCAAATCAATTGTTTTCTAGTATTATATGTATATATATATATATAATGTATAATCCTAATAGCCAAAACGTCATGAAATGCAGAGGGGGGGGGGGGAGCATGCCCCCCTGAAACCCCCCAGATTCTTTTTAGGTCAGGGGGGGCCCTGAAACCCATCATGTTGTTAAAATCAAGTCCAATATTTTACAATTTTCAAACATCAATCATTAACTATTGATTTGCTACAAAAACAGAGGCCATATATTCGTGTTCAGCATGCAAAATACTGCTAGAAAAAAGTAAAACGTGTACATGAGACTGGTGTATGAGTAAAAAAAAAACATGAATAATATCCCTTTAACCCATGTCACGTCTATAGAAAATAACATTAATTAATGCTATTGCTATTATCTCATCAGGTTTGCAACTAGCACTTCTCATTCTAATTTGTGCAATAATGGACAGTGAGTACCAAAGAGATGGTCGGCTCATGGATATGATTGATGAAAAATGGAGAGCTGATCAGCTGCCCATGGAAGATATAGAGGTGAGAACGTTTTCTGCGGCTATAAAACGCCTACATTGCCATAAGCTGACAAAACGCCTTTTTTTTTTCTTCACAACAGTTTCGAGAAAACGAGGGTTTTTCTCAGTGTAAAAATTTTTTAATAGAGTGATTCTGAAATTTTAATTCTATTTTATTCAATGACTAATCACCGTTTCACTTTGGGTTTTTTTTCACACAAGTAGGGTAACTGATCAGGGTTTCGATTTAGAAGGGGAAAAAAGTTGGTTCCAAAATGTAAAAAAAGGCTTTTTGTCAGCTTACGGACGTACAGTTGGTACCAGTCTTTTTACCTTCCAGATTATAATTCATTTATTTGTCCAAAATAATGTAAGTTCTTACACAACTTCCTTTAGAAAATTTGCAAAATAAATGGTTGGGGTTTCCAAGACTAATTTGTTCTCACCTTTCCTTCTTATCGATATTATTCCCATCTCTGTTCACTTTTCGTTGGCATCATGACCTGTTCCAGGGCTACCCAACATTACAAATTTTTCAGGTACGTCCCGATTTTTATTCAATTTTATGAAAATACAATTGCAATACGTACCCCTGATTCCGATTTTTTTACTGACTGTCCTAACTCATTGCCAAACTTCCCGGTGTTTACGGGGAGAAACACTACCAGACCCGGACAGTCTACGTCACTACATATCACGTGCAGATGTCTAACTTAAGCATCCTTTTTGCCTTAAGAGTCCTTGTTGTCGGTCAGTGCCACTCTGTCCTTTGAAAAACATTAGCCTTTTGAAGTGCTGAATCCGGGAGTAAGATAAACCTTAGGTTGACATGGTGTTAGCAAATTCCCGTCTCTACGTGCTGTGTGTGATAACCATGGTCAGTGAGAGCTATTTTTTTAATGGATCAATTTTTGAAAGTTCAAACAAACAATAGCTCCCTTTTCTGCTCTTTTTTTCTTAACTCGACCAGTGATGAGCCCGTCAAGACCGCGTTTTTCACTATGCCTTTGTTTGCGTTACTTTTATACTTGTTTGACTACAACCCCATTCCTTCACACCTCAGGGAAGAAGATGATCTATGGCCATATTACGAAAATTGATTTTAAAATTGTCTCTCAGATTTTAAAATTTGTCACGTTAGTTGTGATTGTCTTGGTGTCTGAGGAGTATAAACTTTGTCATTGTTCTGGTAAAGTTTTCAACCACTCGGCTACTATTGCTAAATTTCAAAGATAAATCAATGAGTCCTCAGCACTTGCTGTTTGTTTACTTCCTATCTTTCTGGATTGCAGTCAAGCTACTGTGGTTCGAATCCCTCAAAGGGCCATTGTTGAATTTATTAAATATTTCTTGCAGAGTTTTTCTGGCTTTGTTGTGTAGAAAATGGAATGTAAAATTAGTTTGCAAAAAGATTTAGAATTTTTTTCGTCTGGAAACGAATGAAATAGCTTTTAGGTCGAACAGCAGGGAGGATCTGGGTTTATAAAGATCCTGGTATTTCACTATATATATCATGCAAGTGTCAGTCCACTCTTCATTGTTTCTTGTGTCCTGATGAGTTTCTGTTCTTGATTTACAAGTCAGTGGGTGGTTGGCAGGTGCTCTGGTGTGGTTTGCTCCTTCTTTCCTATCAAACATCTGTCACCCTCATCTCTCCTCCTTTTTTGTGTATGTTACTCTCCTATAACACTTTTATTCTGCTCCACTTATATGACCTTATTGTGTTGCAAGTGCCATACTAAAATCTTACTAAAACCAGAAATCTATTTTTGGCACTTATAAATACATGACCCTATTGTGTTTCAAGTGCCGTACTAAGATCAGAAATCTATTTTTGGCACTTATGAATACATGACCTTATTGTGTTGCAAGTGCTGTTCTAAAATCTTACTAAAACCGGAAATCTATTCTTCGGCACTTATAAATACATGACCTTATTGTGTTGCAAGTGCCGTACTAAATTCTTACTAAAACTGGAAATCTATTCTTCGGCACTTATAAATACATGACCTTATTGTGTTGCAAGTGCCGTACTAAAATCTTACTAAAACCAGAAATCTATTCTTCGGCACTTATAAATACATGACCTTATTGTGTTGCAAGTGCCGTAAAAATCTCTTACTAAAACTAAAAACACCCACACCAGTCTCTGTGTTGACGTTGTGATTTTGTCTACCGCCCCGCCCCACCCCCCCGTGCCAGGTGCCGGTGACAGCACGGCCGGAGCCAGAGCAGGACAACGGGCCCAGCACCGACGCCCAGCACGAGCACGAGCACAAGTGGCTGGACCTGGCCCTCTCCTCCCTCAACAGCATGCCCCCGACCTCCACGCAGAGCTGACCTCCGACTTCGACACAGAGCTGACCTCCAACCTCGACGCAGAGCTGACCTGACCTCCGACCTTGACGCAGAGCTGACCCCTGACCTCAGCGCAGAGCTGACCTCCGACCTCGACACAGATCTGACCCTCTCCTCCCTCAACTGTATACAGTATAACATTAACAACAAATAAGTCAAACACAGAAGACTTGAAATCACGCTTCCGTCGAACTGTGCCTTCGGTCCCTTTTTTTTTTTTACTTTCTTAATCTTTGTAAGATATCCCTCGAACTACGAATCCCTCAAACTATCGAGTCAGGTCCAGACGAATTCAAGCTATCCGTGTTATATAGTATACTGTACCTCCGACCTTGACGTTGAGCTGACCCTCTCACCTCGAATCTCTGCAATCTTTTCTGATTTTGTTTTGGCTTTTTTTATACTAACTAGTATCTGGAGACACAAGGACTACTAAAAACCCCAGCCGGTGAGATCAAGGGTCACTTGTTAGGTGATCTTCAGAACCTCACACCTCTCAGGTGCTATCGTAGCCTCTCTGATAATGGCACAGGTTAGTTGTACATATTATATTCATTGCCACCAGTACTTGTATCTCATAATCATAAGACCACTGATTGACCAATTAAAAAACAGAAATGATTCGATCGTCTCCTTTGTTTCCACCCTTAGCCCCACCCGTTGGTGTAGTGTAAGAGACTGTTCACAAATGATGTCAACTCAGAGGGGGT